GCTTTAACACCCTCTGAAGTGACAGTATGGCCCATGTAGTTGACACTGCTCACCTTGTACTGTATCTTGTCTTTGTTGAACTTCACATTAGCCTCCTTTGCTCTGGCTATCACTTTCTGTAATATCTCATCGTGTTCTTTCTCTGACGATGCAGCAATTATCATGTAATCTGCAATGATGTGGATCCCTTGGATATCTCCAAATGTCTCACAGTTGCATTGCTGGAAAACCTCACTTGCATAAACTTGATCCCAAATGGAAGACGTTTAAAGCGGTATCTCCCCCATGGTGTGTTAAATGTGCACAGTAGGGATGACTCTTATTTGCCAATATCCATCTTTTTCATCCAGCACTGTGAAAGGTTTCTTACCAGCTAGTTTGCACAGAACTTCATCGGTCGTTGGAATGGAGTAGTGCTGCCTGAGTATAGCTTTGTTTAAGTCACTGGGATCCAAGCAAACCCGTAACTTTTTTTTTCTGTGATCACCAGGCTATTAACCCATGGTGTAGGCTCAGTTACCTGTACAATAACATCAGCTTGTAATAAGTCATCGAGAGTGTCTCTCAGTCTGTCCATTACTACCAGTGGTACTTTCCTACAGCCATGTATGACAGGTGTGGCCTTGGGGTCAGTGTGGATGTGATATTCTCCAGCAAACTCACCTAAACCCTCAAAGACAGTTGGGTGCTGAGCTACAGTATGAGCTCCTCTTTTGTTGTGGGATGTTTCACTTCTATTGAGTCAATGTCCACTCTTTTCACCAGGCGCAGTTCTTCACATGCCTCGTTTCCTAATATGGGAATGGATGAGTGCCTGGAAACATAAAATGTCAGACTTGCCTGTGTTTTGGGAGTGGAGCATTTGAGTGTTACCACCCCTTCCGGCTTCAATCTCATCCCTCCATATGCCACCAGCACTGTCTTTGTAGGCTGTAGTTTGAGGTGTGCTCTTCTTTCACGTCTGGCTTTTCGGGTCATCGATGTGAATACTTTCAGTGGCAGGACGTTGGCCTCTGCTCCTGTGTCCAACTTAAACTTGACACACATGCAGTCAACATTTACATTAGAATGCCATGACTTGTCAACTTTAGACTTTAGCTGATCAATGTTCACTGTCCCAATATATAGGGTGTCTATTTCCGGAGAAACATCATGTACTGTCTTGTGATGTTGGGCTTTAGCTGACCTACACATTTTTGCATAGTGATTCTGTTTTCCACAATGATGGCAGCATACTCCGTATGCTGGACACTGTCTTGGCTGGTGTGATTTACCACATTGTTTGCATGTTTCATGTCTTTGTCCCATGTCTTGTGTACGTTGTATAGGCGGTGTGCGTGTCTTTTGTCCTTGTCGACTATTCTTGTGCACTGCAAGTACAGACATCTCCTGGGCTGCTGCATCCATAGCTAGCATTTGAACTTTGGCAGTCTCAGCAGCTCTGCAGGTGTCTATGGCCCTTTCTAATGTGAGATTAGGTTCTCTTAAAAGTCTCTCTTTCAGTCTCTGGTCATTCATACTAAACACAATCTTGTCTCTGATCATGTCATTTTCTGTGGTATAAAATTCACAATCCTTGCTCTTTTGCTTGAGCTCTGTCACATATTTCTCAATCGTGGTGTTACCTGACATAGGATGTGCCCAAAACTGATGTCTCTCAAACACTGTGTTCTTCTTAGGCAGACAATAGGCTCTGAATGCTGCTAGAATATCATTAACAGTCTGTTCATCTTCTTCTTCACCTTCATCTTCACCGTGTGCGATGTCTAGCGTGTTGTAAACTTCAAGAGCCTCCTCTCCTGCATGCAGCAGTATGGCCACTTTAATCTTCCTGTCCTTACCGTCTGCACCGAGTTCGCGGTCATGTAGATTTGGAAGCATTGTTCCCATCGTCGCCAGTTTTCTCCCAAGTTGCCAGTGAGTACCAGTGGAGATGGTAATTCGAATCGATCCATCTCTCTCTTTTGTCTTTCTTCCAAAAAATTGCAACTCCCGCTCTCTGGGGACCGCACCTGTTAGCTAGGCTTTAGGCTAACAAAACTTTCATCTGTTTACCTCCGGCAAAATGACGAACTGGACCGACTTCTGACACCATGTAATAGTCCTTTATGCTATATAGTTGACCGCAGGTCATGGAGAGTAATAAGGTATCCGTAGACCTTTGTATGAGGCATCTTTATTTACTTAACAGATCTTCCGCCATGATACATACATGCGTTCAAGATGCGGGCTTGCATACACACCGTATCACTCCGCAGCCGCACCACATCAGTAACGTCCTGATAGTATATGTGCGCGGCACTACATACTACAATCCTAACCAGTGGTGACTTGTCATTAGGGGCAGGTGGGGCACAGCAGCTCTCTGCTGTCAAAATGAATGGGTGCTGTAAAAACTACACTGCGCCTGGTCAGAGTCTTTTTGTATTCAATGTGTGCGGCAAAAAAAAAAATCACCAGTGGGGCAGTGTGCTGGCATGGCTGGCATACCCACCAAACGTCATCTCATAATTCAGAGCTGATTGGCTGTAAGTACGTGTGCCACGAAAAGGGTAGTTGTGAAGAGGAGACGAGAGAGAGCAGCTTATAGCGATTAAAATCAGTAAAACGGAAAGAAAATGAATGAAGTCGACCATCTACTTCAGCTTTGTTAAGTTCATTTTATGTCATATATTTTGTTGATCTTCTGTGTTTTGCCTATAGGCTATTGCTCTGCTGGATCGATTGATATTGTGACACGGTCGTATTGTTATGGCCCACCAGTGCAGAAATACCCGGATGTTGACAAGCAAGCCTCTATCACGACTTTTGGTTCACTATAACACACATTTGTGTGGAGAATACGAAGATTTTTTCAGTTCTTGTCAAGCAAATGTATATGTACTACGTATGTCACTAAAGGAGGTTTTAGATTGGCCAGTGTCCATGTGAAGTTATCGTCATCTCTCGGCGTGTCTGCGTTTTCATAGTAACGTGGTTGCTAGGGACGCAGCTCTCGCTGCTGGAAATTAGTATTCTCGTCACTGTCCAACACATTCTCACTCCCAACTCGTCCTATTGTGTCAGGATCCCTTGGCGTCACTATCAAACGCAGTGCCCCACCACTTTTGTACATATAAAAACGCCACTGATCCTAACCATATAGTAGTGGAACAATTTTGTGATTTATACAAAATTGCAGGTTTCATATTTGTGTTTTGTGCCTCTACTGTGACTTGTTTCCATGCTTTAACCCTTGTATGGTGTTCGGGTCTGTGGGACCCGTTTTCATTATTTATCTAAAAAAAAATGATATGATCAATTGTTTTTTCAAACTCACACTCAATGGCCTTGGCTCATTTTCTGTGAAGAACATATTTCAGAACACATTTTCAATGACCACCCACTGTACACCCCCCCAACACATTTATATTACATACAGGATATTCGGGTCCACTGGACCCGGGGCTAACAAAAGTGTGGAAATATTAGGTCCTGCGTGCCTACACTCGGTCCTCCTCCTGTCTGGGTGTGTGTGTGTGTGTGTGTGTGTGTGTGTGTGTGTGTGTGTGTGTGTGTGTGTGTGTGTGTGTGTGTGTGTGTGTGTGTGTGTGTGTGTGTGTGTGTGTGTGTGTGTGTGTGTGTGTGTGTGTGTGTGTGTGTGTGTGTGTGTGTGAGACTTTTGTGTTTCTGCCCCTGCCATTCCCGCACAAGGTTGCAACATTGTTGATAAATTCAAGCACCGACACCTGTCTGCTCTCACAAGTAAAATGTCTGTGCATTCAAAATGTTCAAAAGTTCAAAGGCATCAACATATACTAAGTATTTAGTATGCATTGCAGAATAGCCAATTTCAGAATCCCATATAATGTACTGTAAACCTGTAACCTTATAACAAGAAGAACATTTGTAATTTAACTCTTAAGCATCCCTTTAATGTCGCCACAGGTAAAGGTGGGGCTTATTTCTTATCTACTTTATACTTCTGGGTAGCTTTAATATTATTATTTTTTTAAACTTAATACTTGAGTCAATATTAATTGTCTCAGCATGAGTCAGGAAAATAGATATTGTGGCACTTGAAGAAAACCAATAAGAATATTGTAAATCTGTTTTTGGTAATAATGGAGATAAACTAAGTACATTTACTCAATGTGTAGTTGTTGTTCCATTTTTCTACTATTTTCTACTTCTTCTCGATTACAATTCAGAGGCAATTACTACTAGTACTAACTTGACTATCCGTACTCCTGTTCTAATATTCTTATTTGAAAACATTTTGATCACTTGCAGAATACAGAATGTAATCAACAAGTAAATAATGATTCAGTATTACAGCTTATATATTATTAAGATAAAGCTGTATTGCTCCTCAGGCTTGTTGTAAGACTTGTATTCCTACACTGTGTTATTGATGCTTTTACTTAATGCTGTGCATGTTCAAGTGGCCGGAGTAACTGACACCAGTGAGTGCTGCTGAGAGATGAAACTGGAGTAAAGGGTGTGTTGGAGCCATTTTCACTGAAAAAAGCTGATACACAAACCAGTCATTCATGGTCATTATGGAAATCTTCCGATTTCTGTCGACACTGAGAGCCCCAGAGCTATGTGCAGTAACAATAAACATGACTATTCCGACTCACAGGATTTTAAAGTTTATTGTTGTTAAAATAATCTTTATTTTTTAATTACTCCCGAATTAGATTTACTGCCAAGTAGGTATACACATACTAGGAATGTGGTGTTTCGGTGCATGACAGCAAAAAAATAGGAAATAGCAAAAAGTGTGCAAAAAATATGCGTTTAAAAAGTAAGCTTGGATCATTATCAATTTTTATTTGCTCAAGATTGCACTTAATATCTGCCGGCAGCTTATTTTCATAAATAAATTGCTAAAATCATAATATCTGGACATATAGCAATAAAATCCTTCTCCTGTTGCATCTTTAACGCTATCCTTGACAGTTCTTTTATATTTTAAAGTTATTGCTAAATAACTAAATAAATGTAAATAGAGATGACAGTTTGCAATGCCATTTATTTTCTGAAAATGAATTCCACACAACGAGATCATATCAATAATAGCCGTTCTCTTTCTACAAAAAAACAAACAGTAAAGTTAAGCTCACCCTGCTCCCTACTGGCCTTTACGCTGTATAGCACATTACAAATGGTTGAAGGGAAACTCTAGCCTCAAAAAAACAAAACAAAGACATATTCATATCACATATACAATCATGTGAAGAGTTCTGATGAAACTGAATAGATTTAGATTGTAGTTGCTGTGCAGATTTCTAGATCAATATTGAACTTAAAATAAGACACATACAAATTAAGAATGCAAAAAGGTAAAATAAACTATATTTATTACATTTTTAAATACAAATTTGAGCTTATATAATAATATAGTGTATAACATGTACTGATTCTGTTTTACATGTATTGCTCTAAATCACAACCACCTCTTTTCCAGCTCCTAAGTATTGAAGGCCAGCTGGTAGGATAATTGCCATCATTTAAAGGTCACATATAATAGTGTATTTCAACAATATATTATAGGTGTCAGATATATACAAAACATGTCTTTGAAGTGTTTGGCTCAAAATACCAAATAGATTATGAATCATAGCATGCCATAAACCCCTCTGTTTCAACCAAAAATACACAGACACACAGAGGTGCTGTGGGAGGGGAACCAGACCACGCTGGCACGCCTGCAGCTGGTACAAAACGCTGCGGCTCGGCTGCTTACAGGAACCCGCAAGCATGAACACATCACACCTATTCTGGCCTCCCTCCACTCGCTTCCTGTCCATTTTAAAGTTCATTTTAAGATTCTATTATTTGTTTTTAAATCGCTTAATGGGCTGGCCCCCTCTGTACATCTCCGACCTCCTAAAGGCGTACACCAGCTGCTGCTAGCAGTCCCTAAAACCAAGAAAAATACCAGGGGAGACCGAGCCTTCTCAGCGATAGCCCCCAGGCTCTGGAACGACCTGACCCCCATGTCAAATTGTCGCCCACCCTTCAAACTTTTAAGTCCCGCCTGAAGACCCACCTCTTTTCCCTCGCTTTCGAGTCAGTTGGAGCTGTTTTATCGATTTGTATGCTTTTATTGGCTGTCCATAGTCTTTATGTGCCTTTTATCTATTATTGTAATATTATATTTTATTATAATGTTATGTTTGCTGTGAAGCACTTCGGTAAACCCTCTGTTTTTAATATGTGCTATATAAATAAAGAGGGTGGGCGGGGCTTACAGTGGTTGGTTTGTTGCTAATGCCGTACAACCCACAAATGATGTCAATTTTACGTCACGTATGAACCTGAAACCTAACTCCCCCAACACACTTGGATCAGGAAGGAAAGAGACAACATTCTTTTCTGAAACGTTCTGTGTCTCTTCACAAGGGAGACATATATATCTATTAAATAAATTAAAAAGTGCATTTTGCATAATAGTGGACCTTTAAATACATTGGGACAGATATAACTCCTTGCCCTTTTCTTTTAAATACACTGTTTACAAGAATGATATTACCCATAACCAGACCCCCTTAATAAGTGGTTCACCCAAACCTTCACTGACCCTTCCAATTACACCCACCAGGTCAACTCTGTTATTGTCAATTTTAGTTTGAACAGTTAAATGTTATGTGTGTATGTGCACACATGTTTGTATAAAGCGTATCTTATCTTGGCTTCTCTTTTTACCGTCTATATTGGCTTACGAATAGGATTTGTGTCTCTTTAGCTTTTTAACTTAGCATTGCCACATTATTTGTTTATATCCACAACATGCCGCATGCCAAGAGTTTCCTTTAAAGTCTGCTTTTAAATCTTTTGACTGGCTCATGTTTCTGTGAGCTCATATGAATTATTTCAGCTGTAAAGATAACTTTTTCTACACAATTTGTTCTTCTTAAGGTACTGTCTTAAGACATCTCAATCTGTGACAGATAAACTGAGGGATGCGGGGATCTTAAATCCTCTGCACCCTCACGCATTCGTCCAAACCCAAACGCGGGGAAGAGGGGCTCAGAGAAGGTCGAGTGGAAGGTGAAGAGGTGGATCCGTTTGTCTGAAGAGAAAATGGAGGGGAGACAGTAGAAGGCCAAAGTGCCAGCAGGCCAGTCCAGATACACTGCTACCTTCTTGCCGCAGGGGGCTTTTTCTGTGTCTTCAGGTGTGTTACTGTGCCAGGCTGTGTAACTCTGATCGGTGCAGAGCAGACTCCAGGACTGATCGTTCCATCCAATACAGCAGTCATCGCTTTCACCTCTCCTGTTGATTCCCCTGTATGTCACACCTATATGAACTCTTCCTTTCCACAGGACCTCCCAGTAACAGCGCCCAGTCAGACCTTCACTACACAGCACCTGTTTCCAGCTGTAGAATCTCTCTGGATGATCAGGATACGGCTGCTTCTCTTTCACCACCAGCACTCTTCTGTTGTTGTCACACAGGAAGAGGTTTCTTTCTGCTGTGTTTGGGTCCAGAGAAAGGTCACAGAAATCTGACAGAGGACATACAACACAACTGTAACAAAATCTGGGTTTGACAGATACATCATTCACTACTGATTGGTACAGGAAAAACTCATTAAGAATTGTGCCAGGCTAAATGAAGTTCAATGTAACGTCACCTTATACAATACTTTCACTTTTTCTGTAGTTTGTTTAAAGAATGATGTGCTAAATCATAAGATATCATTGCGCCTGCTCGAGCTAGTGTGGGCAATGTTGTTGTTTTACCATTTGTGTTTTGTGCGGATTAAACCATGAGATATGATTTATTTTTGTACGCATTGGAGTTGCTGGAAGACGTATTATGCTACCTTTGGAGAGATCAGTGACCAAGTAAAAATGCCACTTACACCTAAGAGGTGCCGGTTTCAGCCGAAGCTCTCCACAATGGTCAATCCTGTGGAAAAGGAAGAGAATTGTGAGTGACAGAGAAAGACAAATGAACACAAACACTACATACACGTATACGACAGGCAAGATGAATCTGTACAATAAATATAATCTACTCTACTTGAGAGTTTCCAGTTTACAGCATGGGTCATCCAGTAGAGCATGTAGCTGGGCCACTCCTGAGTCTCCAGGGTGGTTGTAGCTCAGATCCAGCTCTCTCAGATCTAAGCAGTTAGACTTCAGAACTGAAGCCAGAATCTCACAGCCTTTCTCTCTGACCATGCAGCCTGACAGCCTGCAATTACATTTACAAATGCTTACGTTTTTCAACAACACTGTGAAATCCATGCTCGGTTATCAATCTGAGTAAATTGAGTCAAGAAATACTGACCCAAGAATCTCTAGTCTACAGTGTGAACTCCTCAGTCCAGCTGAGAGCAGCATAACTCCTCCATCCTGCAGGTCATTGTGGCTCAGGTCCAGCTTTCTCAGGCTACAGTTCTTGGAAGTGAGAACTGAGACCAGAGCTTCACAACTTCTCGACGAGAGGTTACAGCCACTCAACCTGAAAAATAAAACGAGTACTTTGAGTGTAAAGTGTGTCCTCGTCCTCAGCCACATAAATTATTACATGCAACAAATATATTCTATTGTGTATCTGTACACCTACAGAGCGGCTTTGGATGCTTTGACAACTGGCAGCAGCCTTTGAAAACCCTCCTCAGAAGAAAATAATTTCCTCAGGTCAAGTGCGTCCAGATCCTTTTGCGATGACATTAGGATGAAAACCAGCACTGACCACTGTGAAGGCGAGAGATTCTTTCCAAAGACATTCCCGCATCTCAGGTACTGCTGGATCTCCTCCACTAGTGAACTGTCGTTCAACTCTTTCAGACAGTGGAAGAGATTCATGCTCCTCTCTGGAGGACTGTCCTTGATCTTGTTCTTGATGTACTGCACCAGCCTCCCATTGACTTCTTGTTTACTTTCCCCTTTTTTCAGCAAGCCTTGTAGGAGTTTCTGATTGGTTTCCAGTGAAAGGCCCAGAAGGAAGCGGACAAACAAGTCCAGGTGTCCATTTGGACTCTCTAAAGCCTTGTCCACTGCAGTCTTGTAGAGAGTGAAGTGAAACTCACGTTGTAATGGCACACTCTGCACTGAGGGGAATCGCCTTTTTTTCAGGAGATCAATGCCAGTGTTGCTGAATGTCAGGAAGACATAGAGTGCAGCAAAAAACTCCTGAACGGACAGATGGACAAAACAGAACATCTTGTCCTGGTTCAGTCCAAAGCCATCTTCGAAGATCTCTGTAAAAAGTCCTGAGAAGACTGACGCAGCTTTTATATCAATGCCAAACTCTTTTAGGTCTGCTTCATTGAAGATGAGGTTTCCGTTTTCCAACTGCTCAAAAGCCAGTTTTCCCAGAGTGAGAATGGTCTCCTTGGTTTCTGTGGTCCAGACTTGATCTGTTGCCGCACTTCCATGATACTTTACATTCCACTGTTTGGTCTGAACCACAAGGAAGCGGATGTACATCTCAGTCAGGGTCTCGGGCAGCTCTGCCCTCTCTCTGTTTTTCAAGACATGGTCCAGAACTGTAGCAGTGATCCAGCAAAAGACTGGGATGTGGCACATGATGTGGAGGCTTCTTGATGCCTCGACGTGGGAGATGATTTTGCTGGCGTGCCCTTCATCTCTGAATCTCTTCTTGAAGTATTCCTCCTTCTGTGGGTCATTGAAGCCTTTCACCTCTGTCACCATGTCAACACACTCAGGCGGGAGCTGATTGGCTGCTGCAGGTCGTGTTGTTATCCAGAGGCGAGCAGTGGGAAGCAACTTACCTCTAATGAGGTTTGTCAGCAGCACTCCAACTGAAGTTGGCTTTGTAACATCAGTGAGTATCTCATTGTTTTGGAAGTCCAGGGGAAGTCGAAACTCGTCCAGGCCGTCAAAGATGAACACAACCTGGAACTCATCAAACCTGCAGATTCCTGCTTCTTTGGTTTCAGTAAAGACGTGATGAAGAAGTTCCACCAAGCTGTATTTTTCTGCTTTCAGCAAATTGAGCTCTCTGAAAGTGAATGGAAAGACAAACTGTATATTGTGGTTGGCTTTGCCTTCAGCCCAGTCCAGGATGTACTTCTGCGTAAAGACGGTTTTCCCAATGCCAGCCACTCCCTTTGTCAGCAGAGTCCTGACTGGTGTCTCTCTTCCAGGTAAAGGTTTAAAAATATCCTCATGTCTAATTGTTGTTTCTGAACTGGTTGATTTTCGGGATGCAGCTTCTACCTGTCTGACCTCATGTTCATCATTGACCTCTCTACCTTCCCCCTCTGTGATGAAGAGTTCTGTGAAGATACTATTCAGAAATGTTGGGTTTCCTGCTTTAGCAATTCCTTCAAACAAACACTGAAACTTTTCCTTCAGTTTAGACTTCAGTTTACGTTGGCAAATCGAAATAAGACTTCCTGAGAAGAAAACAGAAAACATCAGTCATTAAATGTTATGGTTAACATGTTCACATCAATAAACTCACATTTGAACGACTAATTCAGATATTAGACTAATCTCAAACATCAGATCTTGACTTCAAAGATCTACCAGTAAAATGCCATATTTCAATCAACCCGGTATCACGGCAAGACGTGAACATGTGACGATCTACCATGCTGGGAGATGTGAATATGTCACGGTTTCGTTTCCCTTCAAATTAGATGTTTTTAATTAATTTTTTAATCGTCACACTCGATTTCGCCGATTTTCTTGTTGCCCTAGCTGGTCGACACCTCTTTTAGCAGAAACAAAGGCTACATTAATGTATTAAATCGATGTTAATCCATGTGTGTGGAGGTGTGGATGTGGAATTAACGGAGGTGACGTTGTGCGATTGCGTTGCCAGGCAAGCCTATCTACCAATTGGATCAAATATAAAAGTCAGCCGAATTAGTATTGATACTGCAAGGAGACGTATTGTGTGAAAAGAAATGTAAGATGTTGTTTAATTGCTGATATATTTATGAACCACGTCACGTTTTCAGTTTTGGCGGCAGTGCTTCCTGTTTGTCCAGAAGTCTTCTCATCAGGGCTCTATAAATACAGAACTACGGCAGATATGTCATATTTAATGCAGCCGAACCGTGTATTACAATGCCGTTATGTGATGACCTCCAAAGAGAAAAGCAAGCAAACTCGGAATAAAGTATTCTTTTATTTTTAAAAAATGTTTTCGGATTTCAAATCAACAGGAGTCCGGTTACCTAAAATGTCCGTGCGGAACAATACCCCCAACCCATAGATCCGTGGGTGAATAATGTCAATCACCACATTACACACATCCCTTCACATTTACATTTTAATTTACATTAAAGTATTTCGTGAGGCCTTCTAAAATGTTTTAAAATATAATTAGGGTTGTAGTTGAAGAGTTTGTAAATTGCGTTGCCTGGCAACGCAATCGCACAACGTCACGTCCGTTAATTCCACATCCACACCTCCACACACATGGATTAACATCGATTTAATACATTAATGTAGCCTTTGTTTCTGCTAAAAGAGGTGTCGACCAGCTAGGGCAACAAGAAAATCGGCGAAATCGAGTGTGACGATTAAAAAATAAATTAAAAACATCTAATTTTGACAATAAAAACCGACCAATAGGCGCGGTAGACCATTTGCTTGGCACTTCCGGGTATTTCTCCACTGGTTGGGCCATGTTAACAATACCGTGTAACTGTCACGTTTGAAGGGACGAAACCGTGACATATTCACGTCTCCCAGCATGGTAGATCGTCACATGTTCACGTCTTGCCGTGATACCGGGTTGATTTCAATGACTGTTATGTAATTGAAAAACGTTTCTTACTGCTCTGTAGAGAGTCAGCCAGCTGGCCCTGCTCCATGTTCCTCAGGAAGTTGAGTGTGAGTGTCAGAAATGCATCTCTGTTGCTGCTTCCCTGCTCTTCGTCTTCACCTTCCAGAGAATCATCCTCTTCTTTCAGCTCCTCTAAGCGTTCTGAACTTTCTAGAACTCGCTTGAACTTCTTCAACTCCTTCTTCACAAATGTCACAATGCTCTCCTCAAGAAGCTGGAAAGTAAAGTGTATCATTCAAATATAAAGATTTGTTCCTGAATCTATAGCTTAACGTCTGCTATGTTGTGTTCAAGTGGTACACAATTGTTCCTGCAGGTACACCTGCCTCTTCAGGTAACACTTGCAGCAAATATCCTAACTGCACTCTGGCCTATTACGCACTTGGAGCTTAGCCAATAAGTGAACTGTAACTGCCTGTGATGCACTGAATATGTGATGAAAGTGTTTTGAATGTGAAGCACTGTCAAGACAGTAAAACGGAAAAAGGACTAGAGTAACCACAAAAAATAAACAGACAATTCAGTTGCCTTTGAATTTGTATTTGAATCTCTAATATGGCAATTAGCATTTATTTTCCCTCACGTACATACAAATTCAGAGCATATCATTCATACAGTTGTGTTCAATGTCCCTTCTCTTACATACCATGAAAATGGAGTCCAGATTTTGTGGATGTTTCTTTGCAGGCCTCCCTTTGATGACCACTGATCTTTTCCGTGGAAATCTGTACACCCAGAAAACACGAGGTCATTTTACAGGTGTCCCACTTCAACAATGTGCGAAATCTGATTCTCTGGAAGGTATTTATTCAGTTTAAATAATTCTAACACCTGTGACAAAGATTAACATTTTCAGATGACAATTATTGGGAATGTAAAGAAGGCAACGGTGAGGCTTATGATAGCTAAATAGCTTGGATCTAGGATTATTAATGTAACCGATGTGTCCAATCAGAAAATCAGTGATGGAGGAAGCTCTCATTTAACAAAAGGAAAATACCACATAAATTCTGTGCGCCCCATGGACGATGAAAAGCTAAGAAACATCTAACACACTCTGTAGGATGAATCTACCTCTTACCATTACATGTCAAACTTGGACCTAGCCTCAACCTGAACTTTAAAGGAGAGGTGTCATGCTTTTCCGGTTATTACCCGTCCCCTTGTGTGTTATGAAGGTTTTTATGCATGTAAACGGTCTGCAGAGTCAAAAACCCTCAAAGTACACCCTGTAGGGAGTAAAACTCTAACACAGAAAATACCTCCCCAAAACGCCTCGTTGGAACTTTCTCATGTTCTTCCTGGGCATTGTGACGTCTGGATACCCAGTAGCCACGCCCAGAGCTATGACGCGATACGGTCATGCTACCCGGAACCAAATGGACCAATCTGTGGAGCCGTTACGTTACGTCCGCGGAGCCGTTACGTTAAGCCCCCGCTGATTGACGGACTTCCTCACACACACACACTCAGTGCAGGAAGCTCTGCTGATTTCTCCTCCCTGGCTGCAGGCTGATAACAGACAGTTGGGATCGCGGCGAAATTCTCTCTGCAGACCCATTCTCACAGAGTTTATCAACCTTTTTCTTACTCAATATCAAGCCACACTTATTGTTTTTACTTCGGCTGTGAGTTTGTGTGTGCTCAGGATGAGTTTGGCTGTGTTTGGCTGTGTATCGCTATATATAAACAAGGAAACCACACCTCCACGGAGCTCAGCGCGATTCACAATGTCCCGACCAATCAGAGCACACTGTGCTCACAGGGAGGGTGGGGGCTGGAGCTATTGGAGCTACAACGAGCCGTTTAGTGGAGAGAGTGAATACTGCTGAATACACACACTTTACAGAGATGCTGTATGCGAAACCAATGTGAGTTTGGAAAAATGCACAGTATAAATCTATTTTAGTATACCTCAACAATGGAATTATGATCAGTGGAAATGGCCATGACACCTCTCTTTTAATCAAACTTAAACCAGGTAAAAACCCTCAAGTTCCAAATCCTCTTTAACAACTACAGCACTTTAGAGTGGCCGATTAATCTAAAAATAGCATGTCTTTGTGTCGGAGGAGCTCAGGTATCCTGAAGAATGTTGATCAACTGCCAGGTACCTTCCAGTAACTGCCATTAACAACTATTCCTGTATGTTCAGTGACTCACTTCCTTGAAGTCCAGTTTTTTTGTTTTGCTAATTGTCCACGTCATTAATTGTTTTTAAATAAATGTCTGACTTTAAATCTCTTGAAGTGGTGTTATTCTTACCTTGACTCAACAATTGGCCCCTCATTCTTGAACTCAGGTTCAGTCATAGACTGGTCACTCCTCACAGACACACAGGTTGGTCCAGGTGAGTCTGGTCTCTCCTGCTTCATTGGGCTTTAACACAACATTAACACTAGTAATTCAAATGTGCAGGTTATGAACTGTACTAATGCCCTCCTCCCCTTAAAAATGTAGTTTGTTTATTGACATTTTGTTGGATATTTGGCTGTTTTCACATTAATCTGAATAAGCTTTAATAATTATTGAATGAGTTATAATACAGGTCAACTGCGAACTCATACTCATGCTTTAAATTCTTACCTTAGCTCAACACTTGGCCCCATGTTCTTGAACTCAATAGGTTCAGACATTGACCGGTCACTCCTCACAGACACACAGGTCGGTCCAGGTGAGTCTGGTCTCTCCTGTGTCTGTGGGCTTTAACACAACATAAACACAACAGATTGTAGAGCTCTGAGAGGTTACACAGTCACAACAATCAGAGAAAAGTTTATCTTACTGCACAGCTCTGGTCTTGTTGTCATGTGGATCAGATAGAGTGACTTCAGAGGAAGAGACATCATGCTCTCTCTCCTCAGACACATTCATGTTGTAGCGTTTACCTTTACAGAAAAAAGCATGATAAGGGCCCCATTAAACCTCAATGGAAATGATTCCCACAACCATCAAACCTAATACAATTGATTTATAGATAGAGTCTTACCTGCAAACACTCTCATTTTGATCCAATGGAAACCCGTTTAAACAAGCACATCTCACAACACTTCTCATTCTCCTTCTGTTACTGTTGCTTTGTTTGTGTCTGATTTATTTTCGTCACATCCCCTTTTGTTTCCCCAAACTGCTCTAACCTGTTTACAAAAGCTATATCTCTGCCAGAGAAATCACCTGACGTAGTTCTGTTTTGAGTCCAATCGATGGTGGAGACATGAATTTGACATTGTCTCAAAGGCTCTAAAAATAATTAAACAACACTGCAAAATCTCTAAAACAACAACTGAACAACCCCTAAGACATTTTAAGTGCATGATTTATTTATTTGTTGGATTAGACTCCAGAGAAAAGATAAAAAGATGGAGCTTATAATTTGTTCACTGGGATAGAAATGAATACTAAAAATTAACACTTTAAGGAGGAGGAACAATCCAAAAAAACATCCGGACTGAAAAATGGGATTGCATTGGATGTGCCTGGTCCAGGACAGGAAGGCTACGTTCATACCTACTATTAACCAAAGTATCTTAATGTAGATATGTAGATGATTAAATTAGTATAATGATTTGTATATATTGTTTTATAAAATGTTTTTACATTCAAATTGTTCCTGTCCTGACTTCAAACCAAAGGTAAACTGGCCCAGTACTGCTAGGACCCCTCAGCTCACCTGGAGCTCCCTGCCTAAGGATCTATAATAGTCCAGTTCTGAAGTCTTTACACTGGCTTCCAGTCTACCAAATAATTTATTTTAAAGTACTATTGCTGGTTTTTAAAGTACTGAATGGTTTTGGATCAAATTATATTAACGATCTCCTGCAGAAGTACAGTATGAACCATCCAGGAGTCTCAGGTCTTCTGGGACGGGTCTGCTCTCTGTTACAAGAGTCAGAACTAAACATGGACAAGCAGCGTTTAGTTTGTATGCCCCGACCATCTGGAACAAACTCCCTGAATCCTGCAGGTCCGCTGCAACTGTTAATACTTTGAAATCCAGACTAAAAACGTCTCTTTTTGACGCTGCATTTGAGTGAGTTGTTCATATCCACACTGCAGTATGGCTTTTATTCATGTATTTTATACCTGTTGTGTTTATTTTATTATCTTTGCTTTTGAAATGCCTGTTTTTTAAATGCCATTTTATAATGTGCTTCTACTATATTTATTCTTAAATGTCTTTTATTTTATTTTGTAAAGCACTTTGGGTTGCCGTGTGCTGAAAGGTGCTATATAAATAAACGTGCCTTGCCTTGCCTTTGTAAAACTCTTATCAGAATCTTTTGAAAACGGTATTTTTTTACGTGCACACATCATTTTACAACCAACTTGACTTATCTTTTTAATACTATTCTCATTTTTTATATGACATTGGTTTATTTGAGCTTTTTACTATTTTTCTAATTGCCTATTTTCATTTCATTGCAGTCCTGACATTTATTTATTCTTGTTTCAATTTAAATGTCAAGCAATAACTTTTAACTCTGCTTTGTATTTTGCAGTGGTGTAAATTAACTAAATAGATTTACTCAAGTACTGTACTTAAGTACTATTTTGAGGTACTTGAACTTTACTTGAGTATTTACATTTTTTGCTACTTTGTACTTCCACTCCACTACTATTTAGAGGTTAATTGTGTACTTTTACTCCACTACATGTATTGAATACCTTTAGTTACTCTACACATTTGGATTAATGATGTGATACATAGTCAACACTTAAAGAAGACTTTAGCTACAACTGGAGTAAATTCACAAGATACCCTGCAGTATACAACATCATTACAACTGCACCTTTATCAGCTTTGATAACACTTTAATGCATTCATAATTATAATCAAAATGTATATGATTCTTAAATGGGCCAATCTGTATAATAAGTAGTTAAACTGTTGGTACTTTTGATGCCAATACTTTTGTACTATTACTTGAGTAACATTTGTATTGCAGGACTTTTACTTGTTACAGAGTACTCCCACGCTCCGGTACTTCTTATTTTACTCAAGTACAAGATCTGAGTACTTCTCCCACCTCTGTTGTTTTGGCAATAGGAACTGAAGTGGCTGAAATGCTAAATGGGAAGTCAGGTGACGGTCACATGGTGCAGTCAGCTGACGCTAACGCTAACAAGCCGACTGACGGTTCTCCAGTGGCAGAGACGGATCTGACGGTCAGACAGGATGCCTTTCTCCGAGCTCTATTTTAACGTTGATAATGGCTACCTGGAGGGGCTGGTCAGAGGATTCAAAGCTGGAATACTGTCCCAGGGGGATTATTTGAACCTCGTTCAGTGTGAGACCCTGGAAGGTGAGTTAAACAAGGCTAGCAACACGAGCAATAGCTAGACATACGGGGCTCATTCAAGCTAAAGCTAGCTGTCAGTCTTGAAGCTAGTTAGCTCGATTTACATCAACGATCGTGTTGCTTTAAAACGCAGTATTCAACTCTCTACTTGGCATTATTGCCAAAAAGTAGCAGTCAGTAAGCACCACGTCGACAATTTGCAAATATGTGTTAAAACCGTTGTCGAAATGTGTTTTTTAAAAGCTTACTATCCTCTAAATCCTAGCTAGCTAGGGAGCTAACGCTATGCTAACACAAGCTAAGCTGATAAAGCCAAGTGTTTTTTCTTATATTGTTCAATCACGGACTTATTAAGAGGAAGTGAAATAACAATAGGAAGATGTTTTTACCCCGTGATGTCACATACTACACCGTAGAGCTACAGTGTCGAACAGATGGCATATTTTATAATCATTAGATGGCTGTATTACTCTGACACTCCCGCAGTTTATTATGGTCATTAACGCATACAGTCACTGCTTGTGAACGTTTTCTGGTCAACATCAATATAACTGAGATTGTAATGTTATAGTTAAACAGAAAGGAAGTGTTGCAGCACCAAAAGAATAAAGTAAAACATAATATAAGGTCAAATGTATTGATATAGTATCATAAAAACATCATACTGCATCAGAGTACATGATTTAACATGCAATATATTACAGTATCAATGATATTATAATTCTAAATACAAAGATGTCATCTTAACTCTGATGGGTTGTACAAGTCTGTCAACACTGCAATTGCAATGTTAACTGTACATGATGTGTATAAAATGAGCTAAAACATGCACGCATAGTGGAATGGTTCTGCTGAGTTTTTAGATAAATATGATAATTTCACGCTACGTTGCGCATCTTGCATCTTAATTTAAGGTTTATTTCAAACTTACTAAAAGGATAAGGTTATTTTTCCTAATCCGCTTGTGTCTCCCTTGCAGATCTGAAGCTCCACCTGCAGAGCACAGACTATGGCAGCTTCTTGGCAAACGAGGCGTCTCCGCTCACCGTGTCCGTTATCGATGACAAGCTGAAGGAGAAGATGGTGGTGGAGTTTCGCCACATGAGGAATCAGTCTTACGAGCCTCTGGCCAGCTTCATGGACTTCATCACGTAAGCAAAAAAAGCTGTTGTGTTGAAATAACTTCCAACTTCCTGAACTATAACCTTTTCTGTAAAATCTTTCTTTTGTGAATTTAACACTTGTGAAATACTGAAAAAAGCAGGGGAACAACTAAAGCAAATAACATCAAACATCACATCAGTATAAAATCAATTATAATCCTGTCAAATAAACGTAACCTTGATGAGGGAAAGTGACAGATAAACACCCAGATACATAACAACATTAAAGACTACCATGCAATATTGTTTGCTAGTTAATTTCCTGCCAAAAATAAGTTATTTTAGTTCCTTTCAGTACGTAATGACAACCAGCATGGAGAATTTGGTTTTTGGTTAGTAATGCATCACAGTGAATATTAAGTTCCCTTTCATTTCTTTGTCAAAGCAATGTTATCTTGTTTTACAACTGCTGCAAGAAGGGACTGTTTGAGAAGATCATTGGTGCATTCAAGTATGCTCTGACATCTGAGAACTGATAGTCATTAGCTGTAAAGCAATCCATTGATGATGTATGCTGTTGGAAAAACGAAATCAGACATATAGGCAAGATGTTCATAGCATGGTTTATAAGCTTTTCCAACACTGACTGTATTAAAACAAACACATTCAATAACATAATAAAAATTTTCACACACTAAAATAATAGTGTCGGGGTTAATGTTATTCATCATAGTTTTTTGGCAAGAATTTAAGAAACAGATCTAGCTAACTCTGTCAGCTATTCATTTGATCATGCTTTAGATTCCCTTTCTCAGCAGGTTGATTTAATCGAGCACTTAAAAGTAGGGTAGGTAAGAATGGAGAAACCAGCTCGAGTGCGCTAGAATTTGAAAGTACACAACCGAAAAAATCTGCCCCTTCCTTCAGACTTCCTTACAGAGCCCCTCCTCCAACACACACGAACGTGCACATGACCAATGAGGGCACGAGATAAGTTTGTGCACGAGATGGAAGGCTGACAGGCAGGTAGGCCATCCAATTATCTGCCCCGGGCCGAGGCAGATAATTGGACTTGCTTTTTACAGCGCCACGGCTTCCACAGATGAAATATTTGTATATATTTATTGTCAAAGCATTTAATTTATTCATTGCTATCGGGATGTTAAGAGCATTCCATGGAATATAACAAAAAGTGTTTCTGAAGTGAATTACCTACCCCACCTTTTAATGTTTAGAATATAGTTTTAATAGCTTAAAACCTGCTCAAGGGTATATATTATCATTTTGAAAAACACAAGTTCGGGCAAAAGTCAGAAGGTTACACTGATAGTGTAGAAACATACTTTTAAGACTACTTCGCTCTGTCTTGACAACTCCTCCCCCCCTTGTGTCTTCAGGTACAGCTATATGATTGATAACGTCATCCTGCTGATCACGGGCACCCTCCACCAGCGGGCCATCTCTGAGCTGGTGCCCAAGTGCCATCCCCTGGGCAGCTTCGAGCAGATGGAGGCGGTCAACATCGCCCAGACCCCCGCCGAGCTCTACAACGCCATCCTGGTGGACACGCCCCTCGGTTTGTACCCCCCTAAAAAACCTGCCATTTTAAATATGAAAAGTGTGAAAACTGAATGGTAATGATTTTAGCAGAACAGCAGATGGTGCCAAAGCTAAAGGAAACATCTCCTTGCTGTTGGTTTTAATGTACTTTTCTTTGCTTTTCAGCTGCTTTCTTCCAGGACTGCATATCTGAACAGGACTTGGATGAGATGAACATTGAAATAATTCGTAACACACTTTATAAGGTGAAGCATATTATATTTATTATCATACTTGATGATAAACATACTTAAAGTGGACCTATCATGCTATATTTGAATAATATAGTGTGGGACCATACCTATATAAGCCTGACGTCAGGACAGTGTTCAAATCTGGATCAGTTTTTATCAGATCCGTTGCAGCCCCTTTTTTAGAAATGTGGGTATGGAGGAAAATAGAGAGGGTTGTGTTTTCTGACACTTGGTGAGTTCCCTGGAACACCGGGGACACATATTCATGTATAAAAGACGTACAAAAGTGCATTTTGCATGATAGGTCCCCTTTAATGCAAGAACTTTAAAGGGGCCCTATCATGCTTTTTAGGGGTTTCCCGTTCCAGTAGTGTGTTATATACCGTAGGTGTTTGTGCATGTAAATGGTCTGCAAAGGCTAAATGCCACTTTTTCTCTTTCATATTTATATTTTTAAACAAATGCCATGATCTGGTTTTTGCTTTGTTTATTTATTGGTTACATAACCTTTTAAACCCTTTTTTCAGGCTTACCTGGAGGCTTTCTATAAGTTCTGCTCCAACCTCGGAGGAACCACGGCTGACACGATGTGTCCCATCCTGGAGGTGAGTCTCTGCCTTGTTTATTTATATAAATAAACAAACACACATGCACCTACACACACTCAGACACTTCTGGCTAATTTTAACATCTGCTACGTCGTAAGTGCTTTTTAAAGGTTGTAATTATGTCCAACTTATTTTAGGCTTACTAATTACTGTGTAGATAAAAATGCTAAGTGTTTTTGGCCATGGAATAAAGTAGAGGCTCAGTCAGTCACTCGTTGTTGCTCCACTTACATTCTACTTGTTGCTGCAGTTCGAGGCCGACAGGAGGGCCTTCATCATCACTATCAACTCGTTCGGCACAGAGCTGTCCAAGGAGGACCGCGCCAAGCTCTTCCCCCACTGCGGCAAGCTTTACCCAGAAGGCCTTGCTCAGCTGGCCCGGGCAGATGACTACGAGCAGGTCAAGGCCGTCGCTGATTTCTATCCTGTAAGTCCAAAAGCCAGCTGCCTGCTGAGATCCCCACAAACCAATCAAATATAAAATGTCTGTTTTTGGAACAGTCCATCCCTTTTTAAATCAGACAATTTGTTCCCTCTAGTATCTCCATCTCCCCGTTTATTACTCACTTCACTGCTAATATCTCTGACCCTCATGTCCTCAGGAATACAAGCTGCTGTTCGAAGGTGCCGGTAGCAACCCAGGCGACAAAACACTGGAGGACCGATTCTTTGAGCATGAGGTGAGACACACGTTATCAGACATAAACTCAATCCCATCTGGAGAAGTGACTTAAACCTTCTCCAAAAGCATCCACATCAGAGAAGGCTTCAATGTACACTGGGAACATTTCCAAAGTGTGTGGTTAAAAAGCATAAATGCATTACACAGCTATTTAGATAAGAGAAGCTTTGTGGCTGTGCTTGAATAGGACCACCTTTTGTTGCTGCTGACTTTCTCTGACCTGCTGACCTTCTCTGTCATCAGGCGTTTTATGTTTAAAATATATACATATATTTTTTGAATTGTCTGTTTCCAGTGATGTATCCCTGCACAAAACCACAAACACAGTTTGTACGTGTGAAGACAGACTCAAATCTTTTTTAATTCATTCGAAAATAAGTAGAAGTAAATATAGATAATTATATTCTGAAAATTGTATTTGATGGGCAAAACCTTTTTATTAATATGAATAAATTGCAAAACAAACATTCTGGGTATGTATTTTACAAATGATGATCAACAAATATACAGTGTGACATTTCATAACTGAATATCAACTTGTTGTCATGTGGACAAAACTTGTTTCTAAAAAAACAAAACAATTTGTATTTTGGCATTTTTGTCCTGCAATTCTTCATCAGCTGGATATTGATTTATATTCGCAATAAGCCAAAAATAAAACTATAATTGTCATTGTGAGCACTGTGGTGCTTTTACACTCATCTTCCTCCTCCTCTTCCTCCCTTCAGGTGAAGCTGAACAAACTGGCTTTTCTCAACCAGTTCCACTTCAGCGTCTTCTACGCCTACGTCAAGCTGAAGGAGCAGGAGTGCAGGAACATCGTGTGGATCGCCGAGTGCATCGCCCAGCGGCACCGCACCAAGATCGACAACTACATTCCTATCTTTTGAGTCTTCTCTTCCTCCTCCCTTTTTCCTTCTTCCTGTCATTTCATTCAGTCATACGTCTTGAACATTGTCTCGCAGTCCCACCTGGGTGTTAAGGATTCTGACGCTCTGATCTTAAAGGTTCTGCATTCTTCACTCGCAGGTGTTAATTGATTCCAGGCATCCGAATCTCCTGTTGTTGCGGGAGTTCTAGCAAAGGCTCACAAAGTTAAACGCCTAATCAACCTAAATATTGAGCTGAAAAATAACCAGAAGCAGCTCGGTCCATCAGAGGTGGTTGTTGGTTGTTGGTTATCAGCTCAGCAGATAAAGGATGCAACTCATTTGACTTTCAAACATTTTCCAAGATTGTCTTAACTTTCTGGCGCCTAGTGTGCTGTTTTTAAGCGGCACACTCTCCACTTAACACATCAGCTCGCAAAATACACTAGAAGAAGAATTTGCAATTGACTACGTCCACAAAACAAACCTCCGGACAGAAACGCCTTGGTTTTATTTGAACTCCCAGCACAACAAACACCAACCATCTTTTTGAGATCGTGTTAATATCCAGACATATGAAGCACTTAAAGGTGCAGTGTAATTTGTATTGTGGATTGACCTTAGGAAATCAGTAAAAGGCAAAAGTTAGGGTTTCAAATCTGAACCCAACACGTCCGCAGAACTCTAACCTGTCATAAAAACATTCCTTTTCATAGCGTCAGTGTCCACCAGGTTCTGTACAACGTGTATTTATTTCTGTTTTAGTGCTAGGTTTTGTCAGCATGTCTGATCATTACTGTGGTTTCCTCCCCAAAAAAGTAACGCGTGAAGTGTGTGAGCCCCCCCGCCCCCCACCTAATTTGCTGTCTTAACTAGATTGTTGTTAGGTATAAAAAATACAGCAGCCGAACAGGAGCTTCCAGTCCTCGCCGTCCCTGTTCCTGTTTGAGTTTCTCTGTAAATGAACTGGAATGAGGGTAAAATCTTGCGAGTATATGAAAGACTTAACGTTAAAGCTATACAAAGATATATAGATATTTAAAGATGAATATATGATTTTTTTTTTTTCATGCTGTAAAAATTTATCTGTTTCTGTTTCGATCTGTTTCTTACTTGTGAATGTGTACTGTAAATGTGATAACATAATAAATAGACGAAACTGCACTAATGCCCCAAGAAATGAATAAAATACACTCATGGGTTGTAAATATTTTCACTATATTTACAGATGTAGGAAAGAAAGCAATGTGTCAGCAAAAGAAGTAGGAAAGGGTTATATTCATACATTTGCGTACAATATATAAGACGTGTGTAATTGAAGAGTTGGGTATTGTAACTGTTAAAAAGAAGTAGTAATACAAAAAAAAGTAATGAAAAATGTTGTTAACCTGCAGACAAGTGTATTCTTTGCTGCAGATGAGAGCCAGCAGAATGCTGTGTTTGATGGGATCTAAACAGCTCTATGATTAATAGAACATGCTGACATGCAGATGTTGAGCAGGTTCACTATTTATCATCTTAGTTAAGCATGTTGGCATGGCAAAATCTGCTAGTTGAACTACGTTCCCTAGACCGCCACCACACATGGCTAACAAAAATACAAAACCATATAACCCTTGATTTGAAGGTTCCCGATCACACAAGAAAACAGGACCCGAGTAAAATCCTAAATGAAAGCTAGTCAGAGCTGCTTCAGTTTTTATCATAGAGCTCTTCCGTAGCAGTTTCTTTGCAATAAAGTGTCCCGAGAGTGCTCTCTCTGAACTTTAATGTCACAACAATTTAACTTGTTTTATGTTTTTTGAGTAAGTCAATATTTACAAATGGACCTTACTTTCCAGCTGTTCCTGTGTTTTCAACAGCCTCTATCAGTCTTCCTCAGTAGAGGAAGTTGGTTTAGTTGTCTTGGAGGTGGCATCACCTGAAATCAATCTGGAACATTATTCACAACAAGGATCTATTTATTAATCAGAGTCAATTTAGTTTCAGAATCCTCATTACAATCTTATACTTTTTATTATATGTAACCTATGAAACTTGTTCGGATTTATTAATTGCAAATAGCTTTAGCCTCAGATATCTCCCTGATGATAGAATAAGCTTCAGCACAGGCCGAACTCTTCAGGTCTGATTGAGTCCAATCAGGCTGCTGAGCTCCAGCTGTTGTATCAGCAGCCTGTCAGTAAAGCGGGGCCTCTTATCAGAGAGATTCTGAACTGAACGCAGAAACCCATGAAAGGCATCAAACCATGACCTTACAGCTTAAAACCAAAGCCCGACTCTTCGACCTGCACTGCTCTGTTGGCCTGACGGACTGGGACATGGACAAGGAGCTGAAACTGGCAACAACCACGGATCAGTTTGACCACGGTGACTGATTTCCTTAGCTTCACTGTGGGTGGAAATGTTGCTAATGAATCCAAACAGCACAGTAAACCGCTGAGGAGGATTGTTCATAGTTAAAACTGAATATGAGATGGCCACTCGGGTGCAATATGTGCAGATTGTCAGTAAGCATATGTTTGTGTGTCAATTTGTTAATCTATCACTGATGACAGATGACAAACTGAATGATCAATATGTGGTCCAGAGGCCTTCTTCAAGAGCCTCGAGAAGAAAAGACGAATTCATTTGGTACGATAAAACATCAGGTAAGCTCATAAACATTTGTTTCTTTTATAAATGTCTGTAGATTCATCTGCCGATTAAACAGCTGACTGTCTGCTTTTTGCAGGATTTACTTTAAAAGCTTTCTACTTTTTTTGTGTTCCTTTTTAGCACATTTGACTGATAATCTATGGTATTAGAATGATCCTTTGGTAATGGGTCAGGGTTTCTCACTGTAATGCGTTGTTAGTATACCAGTGGGTTAGAGGAGACGTTTTTTGTGGTAAGTATGCTTTTTTGTTAAGCCTTAGCTAAGAAAATCAACGTCCGTCTGTAAAGACTGTGTTAATGAACTACTTGTCAAGGAAAGAGAGTAGGTGTGTAAATATATATTTCCCAAAAACGTCTCAATAAGACATTTGTTAAACAGATTTCCTCCCTGACAAATCATTACCCCCTGATATTCTGAAACATGCTGATTTCACGTAGTGTTTCTACTCCCTTCCTCATACTTTTGAGCTTATTTTCCTCTGTTTTCCTGATGAAAATAGTACCAGTTGGACCAATTGAAAATGGATGTTACTTTTTCTTTAAAAAAAAACCGCAAAGACTTTCACTGTGTTTAAACTCTGCATTTGATTGTTCTATCCTTCAGACACCTTTGTAAAGCCAAACCTGTGGCTGCTGGTGAATCCCAATATTGCCAGCCCTATCCAGTACGGAGACAATTCAGCAGATCTGCAGACGCCCTGTGAACCTGCTGATGAAATCCAAAAACCACCACGGAACCCAGCAGGGACTCGACAACTCGCCACAGAGCTCCACACGTGTGCCCCCCATGGTGCTCCTCTCAAGCACGAGATGCTGCACTCCACTGACTACATGGTATCGTATGCAGTACAGACATCACAAATCAAATACCATCACATGTGTGGTGGCATGGTTAGTTTACTCTCAACAGTCACAGTTAATATTGTGCAACCAGTCTTAAATGTGCCCTATTATGCTAAAAAACCCAAAAGCATAAAAGGGCCACTTTTAAACTTGTTTTGCAAGGTGAATTAATGTGTTTGTTGTAAAATCTCCAAATAAAGATCACATATTAATATAAGGTATAAATGTTCAAATCCCTGCCCTGATTTTTTTTATCCTGGAGCATACCACAAATACTAATAAAGCATTCATTCAGACAACTTGATAGTGTATTATGAATCATAACACCATCTTTTGACAACTAGATCAAGAATGAAGACGTCTCCTGTGCACCAGCCAAGAACAGACGCAAGGGAAGAACCCCGAAGACCAGGGTGAGAACACTGGGCTTGGACATGATCCATATTCTTCTAGTGGGGTACAGAGAGCTCTAGGAACTCCTCCCTTTTATTTATTTCTTAATTATTAAACCCCCTTAAATATTTTCTCAATAATCATCTTAAAGGTAGGGTAGGTAAGTTTGAGAAACCGGCTCGAGATCGCTAGAATTTGAAAATACACAACCGGAGAAAATCTGCCACTTCCTTATAGAGCCCCTCCTCCAACACACACGAACGCGCACATGACCAATGAGGGCACGAGATAAGTTTGTGCCCCGATGGCAGGCTGACAGGCAGGTAGGCCATCCAGTTATTTTAGCCGGGCCGGCTAAAATGATTGGTCGTACTTTTTACAGTATTACGGCTTCCACAGATGAAATTTTTATGAATTTTTTGTCAAAGCACTTAAGATATTCATTGCTATCGGGATGTTGAGAGCATTCCATGGAATATAACAAAAAGTGTATCTCGAGCCGGTTTCTCAAACTTACCTACCCTACCTTTAATATGACTGATTGGTTTTACACATTTCATATATGTGACTTACCTGTTCACTTTTCCATAGCTTGAAATTGTCTGGACGCTGTTTGAAAAAGGTTGACATTTGAAGGGCTTAAAATATCCTTGAGGAATACATATTTTCCTTAAGATCTGTAAGGTTGACGTTGCACAAGTTTGTTTCCCCGGTTTCTGAAATGTGTCATTCATGTGCACCGTCACAAGGATTAATGGGCTTTAAATTAGTGTTCTACTTGCCTCCAGGACAGTAGGACCCTGAAGCCAGGATGCTGGCCTCGTCCACCTGTGAACTACTGCATCCTCATCGCATTGGCGCTCAAGAGCAGCCATACTGGGAGCCTCAAAGTCCAGCAGATTTACAACTTCACCAGGTCAGAACTTGATAGTTTGGTAAAACACACACACAACAGGTTCATATAAAGATTTGTAGTCTAGTCCCATTAGGGTAAACAACATTCTGTAGATTAACAGAGGGCACCTTATCGTATATTTTTTTTTTAAGGAAACCTATTATGCTAATTTTTCAGTTCATAATTGCATTTGTTATCTCTACTGTGACATGTCTCCATGCTTTAATGTTCAAAAATGTCTTAGTGATGTCACTATGTAACAAAGGTGTCCAATGGGGGCCTTTCATGCGGGGGGGAAGAGTGTGGGAGAGAAACTCCCTCTGGAGTGAACTTTTTGGTATTTTAGCCTTTGCAGACCATTTACATGCACCCAAACCTACAGTATACAACACACTACAGGAAAGGGAAACTCCAAAAAGCATGAGTAGATTAAAGGCAAACTCTTCCGAAATGTCTGTCTCCTCTCTTTTTTTCTTTTTTTTCAAGTGCCTTTGTGTTATGTGCAATACTCAAGTTGCATTGGAGTGTTCCTCATATCCCCCCTATTTCCCCAGAGAGCACTTCCCATTCTTTCAGACTGCCCCAGATGGCTGGAAGAACACCATCAGACACAACCTGTGCTTCAACAACAGCTTCCGCAAAACCTGCAACCAGCTGTGCCGAGATGGCAAGAGGAAGTCGTGTTTCTGGCACCTGACTCTGGACGGCCACCGTCGGCTGAAGGACGAGATTAGCACGTTGACTGGAGAATCCTTCAAGCAGCTGGAGAAGAGCATGTCCCGCCCAGGTATTTGTGATGACACTTTATTCTAATTTAACGACAACCAACATTTCAGATTCCCTACAACAGCCAGTAACTTCAGCTCTCACTGCTACAGTAAATTAATGCTAGTAAACAGAGGACTTTATTAAGTGATAAGATGTTGCTTATTATTCATTTGGTTAAACAATTTTCTACAGAATACCTTGTTCGGTGGTGTAACAAAGTTGATAAAATGTAGCTTTTTAGGGTTTCAATGTGTCACAAAGATGGTATTATGTTTAAATATTAAGACCTTTTTAAGAGAGATGCTAACGGCTGTTTTCTTTTTGTTTCAGATGTAATTCAGAGTTTATTTGCAGTGTAAATCAATGCATAATAAAACCTTCTATACGGAAAGTATCTGTATTTTTTTTCAGTTATGCTGTGTACATTTATGAATGCTTTTTGTTTCTTTCTTTACATGCATTGATGGCATTTTGATGTACTTATGTTACACAAATTGCAGTCAGGTAAATATATGAGCACAACTCAAAGAAAGTGAACTGTAGCACATCCTACATTTCAATGTTAGAGGACAAAATACTAACATTCCTTATGTTTTAATGCTTTACTAGCTTGAATATATTTGGGCTGTGCAACTTTTAACATTCTTTGAAATATAGGCATGGATCCCATTATTGCCTTCAATTAACTAAAAAGATGATGTCATCATTAGACAATCTGATTATGGTGGTTGGTGCTCCTTTTTTAGAACGACGAGTCCGCAAGAAACATCTTATGTGCATAATAAATCACTGTCGAAAATATGAATTATTTCAGACTCATCTTGAAAAGGCGTCTCTGTATTCAACAAAGCTAAGTTATTGTTTTTTTCCAACACTTAGTGTAAATCTTCACTCTGTGAGTTAGGACAGGATCATGATTATAATGACAACATGGCTACCTTTCAGCTAGCCGACAGCTGGCATAGTTTAATACAGCAACCTTACAACTTGAGAGACGCAGGACTTTTGATAAATAATTATATATGATTTTAACTATTCCAATATGTAGTGCACAACTAATAACAAACCTTTCTGATCAGGCATAACGGCACAGTACAACAGTTAAAAAATAAACCCATTACTACCTCCATTAGACAAACTATTGAAAACATTCAATACAAATGTATGTACTTAAATAACCCTAACCATGTTAGTCATTAATCTGCCGCAACAGAGCTAACAAAATAATTAAGGACAGCTCTGACCCAGGTCACAGACTGTTCTCTCTCCTGCCTTCTGGGAGAAGATACAGGAGCTTCAAGTCACGGACAAACGGACTCAAAAACAGTTTCTACCCCTGGGCCGTCAGGCTGCTTAACCACCACACATAATGCAATAACCATAACCATTCTCACACATACACACACTTTTAATGCACTTTATATACTATTTTTATATCAATATTTTTAACTATTTATTCCCCCGTATGATTGTTTATGTTGTCTGTCCTATTGCCGTGTTTTTTAGTGTTCTGTATGTGTTTGTATTTTTTGCACACCGGGACAGAGTTGCACTCTGAATCTCGTTATACTCTGTGTACAATGACAATAAAAGGCTTTAACTTTAACTTAACTTCAGCGTGCATTTGATCTGGGATTCAGCTCTGTATTTACTGTGAGGATTGACTGATGCACAAAGGAGTGCTTCAGTCTGACCTTATTGAATCGTGGGATCCTGTATCTCCGATTAGATGGTAGCAGTTCATATTCACTGTTCAGAACATGGTTTGGGTCAGAGATGATGTTGTTGGACAGCCTCACTAGGTTGTTATGATGAGTCATAGAGTCTCTGACAGGGTTGACCAACAATCTTTGAGCAGATTTTTAACAGGTGGAGCAGTTTTGATTTTAAAGCTGCTGACAAACATTTGTACCAGGTAGTATTGCAGTACTGTAGAATGGACATGATCACAGATGTAAAGAACAACAGAAGAATTTCTCTGCTCGCCCCAAAAGACCTAAGACGGCGGAGAAAATAAATTCTTTGTTTTGATAACTACTAACTCAGACAGTTGTTGTAAAAGTCGGGGTTCACATGTTCACATTTTCCAACCTACACTGTGAATGTTTAAACAATGTTTTCAATATGGATAAGAACAAACCCAATAATGTGTGTGCTATCAGTTGAACAGATTCTGTTTATTCATTATTGTAACTTAGGTGAAGATCAGACAATTCTTTGGAAAATATTTTTACATAAATGCAGGTTATTCACTTGCAAGGGTTCACTTTCCACTGAATCTAGAGGTCAAAGTAGGTAAATCTCTGCTTCATTTGGTAGGTAAATCTCTGCTTCATTTGCCAACAGTCAAATAGTGTGAAGCCACAGGGATTGGACAGTTTATATAAGTGTGTCTGACAGGCAAATGGTTGTTCTGATCTGTCGAACTGGAAGATTGTTGATGTTCAGCTGGACGTTGGTCGCTCATCGAGCAGTCGGGTGATTCTAACGGAGGACGTCGCAGCACTGGAGACAGCAACAAGCATCGATACAGGTAACTCTGACCCAACACATTAACAAACATTTGACTGAGCCCCAGCGTTAAGGTATTTGACAATGATTTAAGTATTTTTTTTGTCTATTTTGTACCTTAATTTGGTATGTTACAATAAATTAACCATTTGTTTTTAGTGAAAAACATTTACAAATATACTTAAATGTTCCTGATATTACGATATCCATTACTACATTCCTCAGCTGTGCAACATTTTTTATACTCACTGCAAAACTATGAATGTCACCGCATGATTCAATAAGAGACCTTTTGTACAACAGAACTTTGCCGATGATGAACAGCGACCGCTCCCTTCTCCTCCTCCCCCTCCTCCTCAGCAGTGCTGTGTCTGGACTAGGATCAGTGGTGCAGAGATATTACTTTTACGTCCAAAGTCATGTACCCTGGGAACAGGCTCAAAGCTACTGCAGGAGGTGGGGGTTTCCTTTTTATTCACAAAGCTATTGGAAGTTATAATTGGGATTATATAGTAAGTCAAACTTGAACGTCTCACTAGAAATTGCCTATAACAATTATACATGGGATCATTAAAGGCAGTACCATTGATCCTCTTGGAACCATGAATAATTGTACAGAATTCCATCCAGTGGTACGTACTCAAGATGCTGAGGACTAACCAGCACTTTGGTCAAGAAGTACATGGTCCTCAAAGAGGAGTACTTGTAACTATAGACACCCTCAGAAGTTTCTTCTAGTATAATAAATAGTATAATCTAAATAATTCTGGATGGATTTCCAATACATTTGGTAAAAAAATAAAGGTAATCTTCTCAGAAATATAACACTTTAATATAAACCAAATATGTGCTAAACTAATGACTTCCCATTGGACTCGGCTGCATTTTGTGCTTAGTGATTAGAAAATGATATTGCATTGGTTTTCTGACAAATACAATGCAATTAAAACAATGTTTTTTCTTTTATCCAGTTCAAGCACAATTTACCACACTGACTTGGCCACCATCTATAAGCAGTCGGATGAAAACCTTATGCACATTAACTATCATGCCTGGATCGGCCTGTACAAAAACACAAGAGACTATTGGGCATGGTCTAACGAAGAAAACACCTACTTCGATCTTCCCTGGGCACGATACGAGCCAGACAATGGCACACGCTGTGCTACGGTCTATTACAGTCATAAAAGGTAATGTCAATATGTTCTTGCACTGTTTTAAAGACTACAATGTTTTCAACTGCCAAGCATAGTATTATACCACAGAGTATGTTCTCTATCATTTTACTCAAGCAGCCACTAGAATCCATTCCAGGTAAACATTTTTAATCTGTTGTTACTGTTGTGTGATAGTGGAGTTGTGAGTCCTAATTGGAGGTAAGTAAGAACAGTTTAGGTTAGATTAAAATGGAGATTTCTGTATCAGTGTTTTTGTCTGTGAATTAAAGTTGGATTTCATAACATGGAGCCACTAGATGGTGCACTACTCCTACCACCTTTCATTATGTTCATTTCAAATCACGGTGGTTGCCAGTTTGAGGCACAACCTGCATATGATGGTGTTGATTCCCAGTTAACTAACTAGCAAACCTTGGCTTTTAATCAAGTCCCTCTTGGCATGGCGTTTCAGCCCTTGAAACTTAACCCTATAGGCTTGCTCTGAGCACTTATTTGCACAGTAATTGGTAACGGAGTGATGCAGGGGGCCTACCATCAAACTCTTTTCCTGTTTTTCCAACTTGCATTTATTTCCTACACTTGAATTGTCCAAAAAGATATTGCAAATGAAGTATTTTCAAGAACAGTAGCAGTAACAGTATGAATTATAGTTGAAATATAGCCAGTGATGCATGATGTCCACTTTAGTGGACAGGTGATTAATCATAATTTCCTGCAAACATAAAATCAATACTTTGACAATTTATGAATGATATGATTCCTTAGTTGTTACTTGATGTCACCAACATTGTTATACCTGCAGGGGGCGCTTTCCATAAAAGGATTGGCAAGATATCGACGAGTGATTCAGTCCATCTGGCTTTCTGTCGTCCATCTTGGTTTAGAGAAATGTATCATGCACTTACACTGACTTTCCACTGAGTGGCAGTGTATGGGATGATGCAATAGGCTCCTATGTAGTGGCTGATGGTGCAACCATGCCATCAAAACCCATGCATATACAAGAAAACACTTTTTGAAAAGCTGTCCACTGTAGTAGCCTCTATGCGTGAAAGGGATCAAATAAAAATAGAAACATTATAAGATTGATTGGTTGATTGATGCTCATTTACAGATTCATATGTTGTGTAATGGGAAGACAACTAAGGTTTTTTTTTTTGATTTTCAGTTTTTGTGTTTGTGTTCCTTCCAATATACTGATTGTGTTAGTGATATTATGGGAGATATTAGTTCCAAAGTTAATTTGTCTTATGTCTGAGGTTTTCCTAGTTCTATTGTTTTATATGAAATGTAGCATTTTGGTATTTGCTTGTGTTTTGGACGGATTTTGTGTTTCTTAATGCTGCTAATGGTGATGTGTTGGGAAGTGTGTTACTTAGTTTGCTTGTCTTTTGTTTATTTGCATGTGTTTTTCATAAGTTGCAGCACATTGAGCTCTATTGGCCACCATAAAGGAGAATGGGGAAAGCACTCAAAATTCTTGATTTGAATATTTTACGAAAGTAGATAAATAACCCAAAAAAACTAAATGATGCTCCTAACATAGTCAAATTCCACACCTTGGAATTTATTTTAGACGCATTTGATTTATGCATCTAATTCTTCCTCTTTGTAATTGTTTTCATATTTCTTTTGAAAGGTTTTATGGAACAACTTGTGATTACTATTACTACTTCTACTGTCACGAGCAACATGGGGACCACTTAAATTACATATTTATACCACAATTGAAGACTTGGTCGGAAG